TGTACAGGTGTTAGTGTTTTATCTGTACAGGTGTTAGTGTTTTATCTGTACAGGTTTTAGTGTTTTACCTGTACAGGTTTTTGATGTTTTACCTGTACAGGTGTTAGTGTTTTACCTGTTCAGGCGTTAGTGTTTTACCTGTACAGGTTTTTGATGTTTTACCTGTACAGGTGTTAGTGTTTTATCTGTACAGGTTTTAGTGTTTTACCTGTACAGGTGTTAGTGTTTTATCTGTACAGGTGTTAGTGTTTTATCTGTACAGGTTTTAGTGTTTTACCTGTACAGGTGTTAGTGTTTTATCTGTACAGGTGTTAGTGTTTTATCTGTACAGGTGTTGGTGTTTTACCTGTACAGGTGTTTGGTGTTTTACCTGTACAGGTGTTTGGTGTTTTACCTGTACAGGTGTTTGGTGTTTTACCTGTTCAGGTGTTAGTGTTTTACCTGTACAGGTGTTAGTGTTTTATCTGTACAGGTGTTAGTGTTTTACCTGTACAGGTGTTTGGTGTTTACCTGTGCAGGTGAGCAGAACGTGTCGACAGTCGGGGCTGATGACAGCGTTGTAGAAGGAGCAGTTTGGTTTGAAAAGAGAGCAGCTCAGACACTTTTTATGAAACGGATCCTCGGCTGAGACGCTGTTTGAAAAAACAGAAATTTATTTTAATCTCTTTTAAACTGTCTTAATCTGTTGAACACGGAATTAATCAGAATCAGACGTCAGTCATTAAACGACTTGTCCTGATGGAAATAGTGTCTCTTCAGGYGAACAGGTACCTGTACAGGTGTCGTTGGGTGGAGCCTTCCTCTGAACTCAGGAAGTAGCTGTAAAACATCAAAGTGTTCAGGTGGACCTTTGATGTGTGATTTAACAGTGTCGGCTCGGTAACTCACACTGATCTGATCTGTTCGTCGAAGGCCAGGATGTGGGACACGTCCCAGTTCCCWGAGGTCAGGTGTCGCAGGGTGACCTCCGGACCTTCAGACTGAGGATCAGAACCCAGCAGGTGAGACACGTTMGCTCTGAACCTGCTCAGACTCAGGCTTCTGTGAATAATTAATATTTAACTATTTGATTTATTACTAAAGGTTTTTAAAGTTTTACTTGATTGGAAATCATGGTGATGTGGCTGAAGGCTCCGTGTCGGCCGTCCTTTAAAGGCAGCGTGATGAAGAACGTCCTGCAGTCTCTGGAAAACACCGGCTCCTCGTTCTGAAGACAAATAAAAATATAAACAAACACAAATCAGCAGGATAAACCACACRACACGATTTTACTCAGAATAACATTTAAACCAGCTGAGACTGATGCTGGTCTACATTCAGAGGAGCAGACCAGACGCACAGGTCCACCTGAGACACCATCTATGCTAACTTTAGGTCAGCTAACTGCTAACTAGCACAGGTATAAATAGCTTTAGTCTTATATTTAGTGGTGGGCATGGTTCCACTAACCAGCTAACAGCTAATAGCGAAGCTTAGCTGATTAGCTTTTTCACAAATTTTAAAAACTGTTAGTGGACCAATTAGCTTCTGTTAAATCAGGTTTTACCAACTTGAACTTGCTAACAGCTAACATGCTAACATCAACAGGTTTGTTTCAGTCCACCAGTCTTCAGCTCAAAMGAGACGCAGACTGATTAACAGTCATCTTAGCGGTTAGCGATTAGCTGCTAGTGTTAGCTTTTACTGATTTTTACTAGTTTAGCATTAGCGAAGCTATATTTTAGCAGACGATGACGTAGTGATGCTAACTTTTTGGGTAGCTGCCTCCAATCCCTTCACCTCCTGGAGAACTGAGACTCCCACTTCTGGTAATTTAATCTAAAACACTGAACTCACCTTGTTAACTCTTATATTCTGTGTTTTTCTGGATATTCTGTTTAGTATCAAATGCTCACTGATGAAAAAAGTTGTTTTATATTGTTAAATATTTATTATTCTGCTGTGGTCAGTAAAACTCACCTGATGATTCAGCCACCTGTCTGATGTCATCACGTGTTTCTGAATCAGAAAACACTCACCGTAAAAACAGGGAAACATTTTGTTTCTAATTTTAAATAATTGATTTTATTTTGTTTTCCTCACCTTCACACAGATTCCTGTGTCGGTGTCACACAGAGAGAGAATCGACACGTTCTGAGCTCGATTCACCCAACGGACGCCCAGCCTCTCCGGGGTCGCCCAGCGCACCATGGTGACGTAATAATCACTGACAAACAAACAAACAAACAATAACAAATATTTGTAACATAAAAAATATTATTCAATGAGGAGCRATGAACTCCAGGAGAAAGAGTACGAGGAGGAGTGAATGAGAGGAGTGTCTGCAGCTGTGACTCGTAAAGCAGGGGAGAGGTGGGCGTGGCCTGGAGGAATCCACAAATAAAAACACCTGTAGTCGAACACAAGACGCAGACACAGAAAATATGATAAACAAAAAAGTTTGTCAACGTAAAAATAAATATAAATGACGACCAAACAAAACACACAAAAAAATATCTAAAAGCCACACATTTAAAAACTAGTAGCTAAAGAACGGAGAGATTTTTCTTCCGAAATTTACACCATAAACTTTTTTGCAAGCAGTTGCCAAGGTG